CATCCCCAGAATAATGCACTCACAGAAAAAAAACTCAACGAATAATAACAGATTCAATTTTCCACCCGGATATTAAATCCTAGGAAGAGAGGGGGGAGAGGGGGAGGAGGATTTGCACTGCTCATTAAAAAATGTGGGTTTTGAAAAATGGAAAAGGGAAAGGTGGCAAGGGTGAAAGGGAATACTTTGTAGGAACAATCCGTTGAGGGCATAAGGTGATAAATTGCGTAATGTAAAACCCCCCCCCAGAACTGCAGGGACCAAAGAGAAGGGAAAACGATGGGACAACAGAGCATGGTCGCACACTACCGAGGGGCCAGGGGGGGCACAATGGGGGCAAAATTTCTAGTTATGGGTGTTTTCAATCACAAGAAGATTGCTGGGAAAACCCGGAGCCCCCGGGGGTCCCCAAAAAATGGAGAGCCCAAGATGATGGATGTAGTACTGGAAAACTATGCATCAAATGTTAGAGACACTACCCGGAGAGAGGAGAAGAGAACCAGCAAATGGCCCTTTTATTCACCTTGGTATTCAGCATCGAGGGGGTATTGTTGAAAAGGCTCTGGGAGTAGTGATCATGTGGTTCTGTGCTTTGAAATAGTTTAGCTCCAGTGGAGAGAGTAGCGGAATAGGGTGGGAAAAAACCAAACTACAAAAGGGGGAACTACTCAGGCATGAGGAACTTCCCTTTAAAACATTCAGTGGGGGGGGAACTGAAGGAAAAAACCGTACAAGAAAAGATGGATATGTGGGAACAAAATGCAAAGGGGGCAAAGGGGAGGTTTTTTCCCCCGGGAAACAGAAAAAATGGGAAGAACGGAACGAGTCCCTTGGTTCACCCCAAGGGGTAGGGAGGCAAAAACTAGGGGTACTAGAGATGGGAAAAAAGGTACAGGAAAAAAGAGAACTAGGAAAAAAAAAGAGATTTGCCGAAGAGCCAAACGAAAATGCACGTAAAAAAGGAGGTAGCGAAATGAAAAAGACATGCATCGAAAATCAAACTGCCCCAAGCTGTGTACAGCCACATCAGGAGGAAAAAACGTCAAATACCCCGGTAATCAAATGAGGGGAAAGGGGGATGGGGAATTACAAAAAACGACCCCAGGGTATGCAGGAGCTAAAAACGAGATTTAAAGAAGTATTTACAATGTTAACCCGTGGACTCCGGAAATCAGAAAATGGGGTACACCCGCAAGTGCGGTGAGGTACATTAACAAGGAGGAAGTGAAGAAGCTGCTATTTCGAACTTCAAACCCCCAAGGCGGTGGGACCGGAAAAATTCTCCGTGGGTCCTTAAAGAGAGAGCAGAGATATTTTGGGCCATTACAAAAATCTTCAACACTATTTGAACGGGCAACTCCCCGAGGATGGAAGATGCAAATGTAGTCAATTTTAAAAAGGGGGGACAGAAATGGGCACTAAAATACGACCCGATCACTAAGTGTATGTATGCAAGGTCATGGAGAAGATCATCAGGAGGAGAGTGCGGGCCCTGGAAAAAAACAAGTGTTAAATTTTCAAACCCGCACGGTTTCAGTGAAGGAAAAAACCTGGTCACAAACCTACTAGAGTTTTTTGACAAGGTGACGGAAGTAAGACAAGAGGGAGGGGTGGACGATGCTTTTTCTGGACTGTAGAAGGCTTGACACAGTCCCTCACAAGAGGTTACTGCAAAAGCTAGAGGATCAGGAACTAAAAGGAAAAGGACTGCAATGGATCAGGAATACCTGACAGGGAGGCAAAAAACGAGTCATGTTTTTTGCGAGGGGTCAGAGTGGGCGCTTGTGACAAGCGGGGGTTCCCCAGGGGGGGAGTCCCAGTGCCCGTGCGTTCTTGGTTATGTGAAAAGACATAACGGAAGGGATAGATCGAAGTGTCCTTGTTTGCAGATGATGTGAAGTTAATGAGAAAAATCAAATCGGATGAGGATAGCCCGGACTACAAAAAGACCTGGCAGGGACAAGCCTGGTCCAGCAACTGGTCCTTGGTTTAACCCTGCCAAATGCAAAAATCATGAAAATTTGGGGGAAAGGGAAAGAGACCCAGACACAAAAAGTTTAATGGCCAAAGGGCTGCAAAACCCCCTAAGGAAAAAGATTGGGGGTGAGTATAAAACGGCTATCTCCGAGGCGACATCATTCAGATAACTGCTGCTTTTACGGAAAAGCTTGGGAAACCTACGGTAGGTTCCCTACCCGTAAGGATTCGTTCAAGACTCTGTTTCCATTTAGTCAGGCCCATACTGGGGTATGCCCCAGTTTGGAATCCAACCTAGTCAAAACGTCAAAAAAAATTAGAGAAAATGCAAAGGTTTGCAACAAGGATTGTCCCAGAGCTACGGGGATTGTCCTACGAAAAAAAAGTTGAGGGAAACGGCCTGCGACCTGGAGGACGGAGGGTAGGGGAGGGTGATAGCGCATATAAAATACTGCGCGGAAAGACAAGGGGACAAAGAGGGATGTTCCAGAGAGGGGGCACAACCAAAAAGGTACAATTGGAAGTTGAAGACTCAGATGAATCAAAGGGATGTTAGGAAGTATTTCTTCAATCGTAGAGTAGTCAGACCGTGGAATAGCCTAGAAAGTGACGTAGTGGAGGCGGGAACCATACATAGTTTTAAGGCGAGGTATGATAAAGCTCATGGAGCAGGGAGGAGAGGACCTAGTAGCAATCAGCGAAGAGGCGGGGCCAGGAGCTATGACTCGACCCCTGCAACCACAAATAGGTGAGTACAAATAGGTGAGTACACACACATACCCACACACCTATACACCCACACACCCACACACCCACACACCCACACACCCACACACCCACACACACACACACACACACACACCCACACGAAACACACACACACATACAACACACCACACACACACACCAAACACACACACACACACACACACACACACACTACACACACAAAACAACACACACACACACACACACACATACCCCAAAACCCTATACACCCACACACCACACACCACACCCCCACACACACACACACAAAAAACCACCACACCACACACCACACACACATACCCACACGCCTTGAAACGGGGGCAACTACCTGAGAAATGGAAAGACAGCAAATGTAGCCCCCATATTTAAGAAAAGGAAACAGAAACGAGGCACTAAACTACAGACCTGTGTCTCTGAATGTATTGTGTGCAAAGTCATGGAGAAGATTATCAGGAGGAGGTGGTCGAAACACCTGGAAAGGAAAAAGATTATAAATGAAACCAGCATGGGTTCAGGGAAAGGCAAATCTTGTATCACAAACCTCCTGGAGTTTTATGACAAGGTAACAGAAGTAAGACACGAGAGAGAGAGGGGGTGGTAGATTGCGTTTTCCTAGACTGCAGGAAGGCCTTTGACACAGTTCCCCACAAGAGATTAGTGCAGAAGCTGGAGGATCGGGGCGCACGTAAAAAGGGGGGGGCACTGCAATGGATAAGGGAATACCTGACAGGGAGGCAGCAACGAGTCATGGTACGTGAAGAGGTTTTCACAGTGGGGGGCCTGTTACGAGCGGGGCCCCACAGGGGTCAGTTCTAGGACCAGTGCTATTTTTGATATATGTGAACGACATGATGGAAGGAATAGACTCTGAAGTGTCCCTGTTCGCAGATGACGGGGAAGTTGATGAGAAAAATTTAAAATTGGGGACGAGGATGAGGCAGGACTGCAAAGGGGACCTGGACAGGCTGGACATGTGGTCCAGCAAACTGGCTTCTCGAATTCAATCCAGCCAAATGCAAAGTCATGAAGATTGGGGAGGGGCAAAGAAGACCGCAGACAGAGTATAGGCTAGGTGGACAAGACTACAGACCTCACTCAGGGAGAAAAAGCCTTGGGGTGACCATAACACCGAGCACATCACCGGAGGCACACATCAACCAAATAACCGCTGCAGCATACGGGCGCCTGGCAAAAACCCGAGAATAGCGTTCCCATACCTTAAAAAGGAATCGTTCAAGACACTGTTCACTGTGTATGTTAGGCCCAATATGGAGTATGCAGCATAGTCTGGAACCCACACCTGGTCAAGCACGTCAAGAAGTTAGAGAAAGTACAAAGGTTTGCAAACAGGCTAGTCCCAGGCTCAAGGGAATGTCGTACGAGGAAAGGTTAGGGAAAAACGGACTGCGACATTGGAGGACAGAAGGGCCAGGGGAGACATGATAACGACATACAAGATATGCGGGGAATAGACAAAGGGGGACAGAGATAGAATGTTCCCGAGAGGGGACACAGGGACAAGGGGTCACAACTGGAAGCTGAAGACTCAGACGAGTCACAGGGACGTTTTGGAAGTATTTCTTCAGTCATAGAGGTTGTCAGCAAGTGGAATAGCCTAGCAAGTGAAGTAGTGGAGGCAGGAACCATACATAGTTTTAAGAAGAGGTATGACAAAGCTCAGGAAGCGAGAGAGAGAGGATCCATAGCGATCAGTGAAGAGGCGGGGCCAGGAGCTGAGTCTCGACCCTGCAAAACCCCAATTAGGTGAGTACAATTAGGTGAGTACACACACACCCCACACCACACACAAAACAACACAAAACACAAACATACACCACAACACACACACACACTACAACATGATAACGACATACAAAAAACTGAGAGGAATTGACAAGGTGGAAAAGAAGGATGTTCCAGGATTGGCACAGTAACAAGGGGGGACACAGTTGGGGTTTAAGACACGAGAAACACAGGGATGTTAGGAAGTATTTTTTCAGCCACGATAGTCGTAAGTGGAATAGTTGGGAAGCGATGTGTGGGGGCAGGGTCCCTTTCATGCTTTAAGCAGAGGGATGATAAAAACTCACGGCTCGGGGAGGACTAGTAGCGATCAGTGAAGGGCGGGGCCGGAGCTCGGACTCGACCCCCGCAACCTAACTAGGTGAGTACAACTAGGTGAGTACAACTAGGTGAGTACAACTAGGTGAGTACACACACACACACACACACACACACACACAATGCAGGGTTTAATGAAACACCTCTTAAACGAGTGTTGCAACACTGGTATATAGTGTATATACTGTACACTGAGAGGCGTGTTTCTCTCAGTGTACATTCAGTGAGAGACTTGAAACCCCAGGTGTTCCATGACGCCTGTGGGTTTTGCGTTCAACAGTGAGTATATTTTTTTTGAGATTCGTCTTAGCCTGGCTTCCGGACTATACTCCGTGTCCGGTAATCTCTCTTTTTCTCTTCTCCCATCATCACGAACCTTCCATCTTACATCGGTTGAAATCGTGAAGTTTGGCACTGTCTGCACTCTCTGCAGGTCCTCTTGTTGCCTGAACCTGCCGAACTCAGGCTACACCTGGAGAATATACTCGTGGGTAGAACCAGTGTCTGAGTCGGTGTGGGCAGTGGACGCTTCAGGGGCACCAGCATCCATTTCCTCTTCAAATCTGTGAGAAACAATAGAATCACAAAATCTCTCTCTCTTTCTCTCTCTCTCTCTCTCTCTCTCTCTCTCTCTCTCTCTACTCATACACACACACTAACGTATATACTGTATATACTGTATATATATGTATATTAATATATATATATATATAATATATATATATATTTTATAAATATATATATATTATATATATATATATTATATATATATATATATATATATATATATATATATATATATATATGTCGTGCCGAATATTAAAACTGGTCAATTAGCAAGAACTCATTTAAAATTAAGTCCTTTCTAAAATTTTCTCTTATACGTTTAAAGATATATTTTTTTCATTAATGTTAATGTAAAAATTTATAATTTTGCACCAAAAGAATCTTAGAAAACTTACCTAACCTTATTATAACAAAAACAATTTATTTTAGCCTAACTCAACTATATATATTTTAGATTTGTTTACAATAATTTAATACTAAACAAACACAGTGAAATATATTTTTTTCGTTAGGTTCAGAATGATTTTGGCGAAATTATTGCATACACGAATTTTCACTTGTCCTATATGGCAAGATGAGCGTTGCTATTTAAGCCAAGATCGCAAGTTCTGCCTATTCGGCACGACATATATATATATATACGAGAGGGCTTAAATTGTAAATTGTGGGATGGTTTGATCCAAGGAAGGAGAGGTTTAGCTTCCTTTATCAAGACCTTTAACAACAAAGTTATTAAGGCTCTTCATAGAGGGAATTAAAGGTCTTCTTCCTTTGACTAAACTTATGCAACACAAAGCAATACACAATACAAAATAATAAAATAAATACAACATAACACAACGCAACATTATACAACAAAGTACAACACAGTACAACAAAATACAACACATTACAGCACAATACAGTATAATACAAAACAACACAATACAACACAAGAAAATACAGAATAATTCAACACAATAAAATACTATACAGCATAAATACAATATAATGCAGTATAATGCAACACAACACAATACAACCACAACAAAATACAGTATAATACAACAAAATACATTATAACACACCACAATACATCACCTGTCGTAAGAATCTTCCTTAACATCGAGCAACGGTTCCTTGGACTCAAACTTCTTCTTGCAGAGTAACAGCAGGTGCAGGACTCCCAGAAGCAGCAGGAGTCCTCCTGCAGAGTACACTCCACTGGGTTAAAAATAAGCCACTTCCTAAGCCACCACTGCCATACTGGGTTAGAAATAAGCCGTTAAATAAGCCACTTCTGTCTGACAAATACTGGAGTGAAGACCACTCCACTAGACCCCTGACCTGAAGTGTTGTGGAGGGTAGTGCAGGGTGACCTGTGTTATGTATCACCTCCCCTGACCTGAAGTGTTGTGGAGGGTAATGCAGGCAGACCTGTGTTATGTATCACCTCCCCTGACCTGAAGTGTTGTGGAGGGTAGTGCAGGCTGACCTGTGTTATGTATCACCTCCCCTGACCTGAAGTGTTGTGGAGGGTAATGCAGGCAGACCTGTGTTATGTATCACCTCCCCTGACCTGAAGTGTTGTGGAGGGTAGTGCAGGCTGACCTGTGTTATGTATCACCTCCCCTGACCTGAAGTGTTGTGGAGGGTAGTGCAGCTGACCTGTGTTATGTATCACCTCCCCTGACCTGAAGTGTTGTGGAGGGTAGTGCAGCTGACCTGTGTTATGTATCACCTCCCCTGACCTGAAGTGTTGTGGAGGGTAGTGCAGCTGACCTGTGTTATGTATCACTTCCCCTGACCTGAAGTGTTGTGGAGGGTAGTGCAGCTGACCTGTGTTATGTATCACCTCACCTGACCTGAAGTGTTGTGGAGGGTAGTGCAGCTGACCTGTGTTATGTATCACCTCCCCTGACCTGAAGTGTTGTGGAGGGTAGTGCAGCTGACCTGTGTTATGTATCACCTCCCCTGACCTGAAGTGTTGTGGAGGGTAGTGCAGCTGACCTTTGTTATGTATCACCTCCCCTGACCTGAAGTGTTGTGGAGGGTAGTGCAGGCTGACCTGTGTTATGTATCACCTCCCCTGACCTGAAGTGTTGTGGAGGGTAGTGCAGGGTGACCTGTGTTATGTATCACCTCCCCTGACCTGAAGTGTTGTGGAGGGTAGTGCAGCTGACCTGTGTTATGTATCACCTCCCCTGACCTGAAGTGATGTGGAGGGTAGTGCAGGCTGACCTGTGTTATGTATCACCTCCCCTGACCTGAAGTGATGTGGAGGGTAATGCAGGCTGACCTGTGTTATGTATCACCTCCCCTGACCTGAAGTGTTGTGGAGGGTAGTGCAGGCTGACCTGTGTTATGTATCACCTCCCCTGACCTGAAGTGTTGTGGAGGGTAATGCAGGGTGACCTGTGTTATGTATCACCTCCCATGACCTGAAGTGTTGTGGAGGGTAATGCAGGGTGACCTGTGTTATGTATCACCTCCCCTGACCTGAATTGTTGGGGAGGGTAGTGCAGGGTGACCTGTGTTATGTATCACCTCCCATGACCTGAAGTGTTGTGGAGGGTAATGCAGGGTGACCTGTGTTATGTATCACCTCCCATGACCTGAAGTGTTGTGGAGGGAAATGCAAGGTGACCTGTGTTATGTATCACCTCCCCTGACCTGAATTGTTGGGGAGGGTAGTGCAGGGTGACCTGTGTTATGTATAACCTCCCCTGACCTGAAGTGTTGTGGAGGGTAATGCAGGGTGACCTGTGTTATGTATCACCTCCCCTGACCTGAAGTGTTGTGGAGGGTAATGCAGGCTGACCTGTGTTACGTATCACCTCCCCTGACCTGAAGTGTTGTGGAGGGTAATGCAGGGTGACCTGTGTTATGTATCACCTCCCCTGACCTGAAGTGTTGTGGAGGGTAGTGCAGGCTGACCTGTGTTATGTATCACCTCCCCTGACCTGAAGTGTTGTGGAGGATAGTGCAGGCTGACCTGTGTTATGTATCACCTCCCCCTGACCTGAAGTGGTGAGAAGGGTAGTGCAGGCTGACCTGTGTTATGTATCACCTCCCCTGACCTAAGGTATTGTGGAGGGTAGTGCAGGCTGACCTGTGTTATGTATCACCTCCCCTGACCTGAAGTGTTGTGGAGGGTAATGCAGGGTGACCTGTGTTATGTATCACCTCCCCTGACCTGAAGTGTTGTGGAGGGTAGTGCAGGCTGACCTGTGTTATGTATCACCTCCCCTGACCTGAAGTGTTGTGGAGGGTAATGCAGGGTGACCTGTGTTATGTATCACCTCCCCTGACCTGAAGTGTTGTGGAGGGAAGTGCAGGCTGACCTGTGTTATGTATCACCTCCCCTGACCTGAAGTGTTGCGGAGGGTACTGCAGGGTGACCTGTGTTATGTATCACCTCCCCTGACCTGAAGTGTTGTGGAGGGTAATGCAGGGTGACCTGTGTTATGTATCACCTCCCCTGACCTGAAGTGTTGTCGAGGGTAATGCAGGCTGACCTGTGTTATGTATCACTTCCCCTGACCTGAAGTGTTGTGGAGGGTAATGCAGGGTGACCTGTGTTATGTATCACCTCCCCTTATCTGAAGTGTTGTGGAGGGTAATGCAGGGTGACCTGTGTTATGTATCACCTCCCCTGACTTGAAGTGTTGTGGAGGGTAGTGCAGGGTGACCTGTGTTATGTATCACCTCCCCTGACCTGAAGTGTTGTGGAGGGTAGTGCAGGCTGACCTGTGTTATGTATCACCTCCCCTGACCTGAAGTGTTGTGGAGGGTAATGCAGGCTGACCTGTGTTATGTATCACCTCCCCTGACCTGAAGTGTTGTGGAGGGTAGTGCAGGCTGACCTGTGTTATGTATCACCTCCCCTGACCTGAAGTGTTGTGGTGAGTAGTGCAGGGTGACCTGTGTTATGTATCACCTCCCCTGACGTGAAGTGTTGTGGAGGGTAGTGAAGGCTGACCTGTGTTATGTATCACCTCCCCTGACCTGAAGTGTTGTGGTGAGTAGTGCAGGGTGATCTGTGTTAGGTATCACCTCCCCTGACCTGAAGTGTTGTGGAGAGTAGTGCAGGGTGACCTGTGTTATGTATCACCTCCCCTGACCTGAAGTGTTGGGGAAGGTAGTGCAGAGTGACCTGTGTTATGTATCACCTCCTCTGACCTGAAGTGTTGTGGAGGGTAGTGCAGGCTGACCTGTGTTATGTATCACCTCCCCTGACCTGAAGTATTGGGAAGGGGAGTGCTGAGTGACCTGTGTTATGTATCACCTCTCCGGACCTGAGTTGTGGGGGAGGGGAGTACAGGGTGACGTGTATCATGTATCTCCTCCCCTGACCTGAAGTGTTGGGGAGGGGAGTGCTGGGTGACCTGTGTCATGTATTACCTTCCCGGACCTGAAGTGTTGGGGAGGAGAGTGCGGGGTGACCTGTGTCATGTATCACCCCCCCTAACCTGAAGTGCTGGGGAAGGTAGTGCTGAGTGACCTGTGTTATGTATCACCTCCCCTGACTTGAAGTGTTGTGGAGGGTAGTGCAGGGTGACCTGTGTTATGTATCACCCCCCCTAACCTGAAGTGTTGTGGATGGTAGTGCAGGGTGACCTGTGTCATGTATCACCCCCCCTAACCTGAAGTGTTGTGGATGGTAGTGCAGGGTGACCTGTGTTATGTATCACCTCCCCTGACCTGAAGTGTTGTGGATGGTAGTGCAGGCTGACCTGTGTTATGTATCACCTCCCCTGACCTGAAGTGTTGTGGAGGGTAATACAGGCTGACCTGTGTTATGTATCACCTCCCCTGACCTGAAGTGTTGTGGAGGGTAATGCAGGGTGACCTGTGTTATGTATCACCTCCCCTGACCTGAAGTGTTGTGGAGGGTAATGCAGAGTGACCTGTGTTATGTATCACCTCCTCTGACCTGAAGTGTTGTGGAGGGTAGTGCAGGGTGACCTGTGTTATGTATCACCTCCCCTGACCTGAAGTATTGGGAAGGGGAGTGCTGAGTGACCTGTGTTATGTATCACCTCTCCTGACCTGAGTTGTGGGGGAGGGGAGTACAGGGTGACGTGTATCATGTATCACCTCCCCTGACCTGAAGTGTTGGGGAGGGGAGTGCTGGGTGACCTGTGTCATGTATTACCTTCCCGGACCTGAAGTGTTGGGGAGGAGAGTGCGGGGTGGCCTGTGTCATGTATCACCCCCCTAACATGAAGTGTTGGGGAAGGTAGTGCTGAGTGACCTGTGTTATGTATCACCTCCTCTGACCTGAAGTGTTGTGGAGGGTAGTGCAGAGTGACTTGTGTTATGTATCACCTCCCCTGACCTGAAGTATTGGGAAGGGGAGTGCTGAGTGACCTGTGTCATGTATCACCTCCCCTGACCTGAAGTGTTGGGGAGGGGAGTACTGGGTGACCTGTGTCATGCATCACCTTCCCGGACCTGAAGTGTTGGGGAGGAGAGTGCGGGGTGACCTGTGTCAAGTATCACCCCCCTGACCTGAAGTATTGGGGAGGGGACTGCTTTGTGACCTGTGCCATATATCACCTCTAACCTGAAGTGTTGGAGAGGGGAGTTCAGGGTGACCTGTGTCATGTATCACCCCCTGACCTGAAGTGTTGGGGAGGGTAGTGCAGGGTGACGTGTGTGTCATGTATCACCTCCCCTGATCTGAAGCAACAGGGAGGGGAGTGCAGGGTGACCTGTGTGTCATGTATCACCTCCCCTGATCTGAAGCAACAGGGAGGGGAGTGCAGGGTGACCTGTGTGTCATGTATCACCTCCCCTGATCTGAAGCAACAGGGAGGGGAGTGCAGGGTGACCTGTGTGTCATGTATCAACTCTCCTGACCTGAGGTGTTTTACCTGGAGTTTACCTGGAGAGAGTTTCGGGGGTCAACGCCCCCGCGGCCCGGTCTGTGACCAGGCCTCCTGGTGGATCAGCGCCTGATCAACCAGGCTGTTGCTGCTGGCTGCACGCAAACCAACGTTTGCCTTTAGGTGCTTGTCCAGTGCCAGCTTGAAGACTGCCAGGGGTCTGTTGGTAATCCCCCTTATGTGTGCTGGGAGGCAGTTGAACAGCATCTCTAGATTTGTTTCTCAGACCTAGTGTTTCAGTTCCCTGACCTGAAGATTTACAGAGACACACACATACAGGGAGAGTGACCTAGTAGCGACCAGTGAAGAGGCGGGG